ACTCTTAGTTAGAATTTCAAAAATGGCTGCAGGAGCTTACTGTCTCATACAGAGCCACAGCTCAACTTCAGCATGATGTATAAAGTCACCGTTGAGTTCCAAATGGAAATTAGAATAATTTGCCGTCGCGGTTTCGGTTCGCAGACGACGCAAATTTTGGCGATTTCGCGTTGTTGTTTTGCATAGGACGGCTAAGAAATGCACACAGTTTAAAACACACGTGCTGAGCTATTGTTCTGCTAATTAGATCTCTTGTTTTTCCACGTCCTCGTTGCCGTCGTGGTTTCTTAAAGTCCCTAATGTAAATTAGCCACCGTAAAGAGTATCACAGCTGACGTTTCGAGCTTCAGCTCTTCGTCAGAGCAGAGGAGTTGGGAGGGCTGGGTAGCAATTAGAGTAGGGAAACAAACATGGAAACCTTTTTCAAAGCTTTCTCCCTAAAATAAAAAACCTGATTAAAGCTTTTTTAATTCAGAGAGGTTTCCGTGATTGATTTTATTGAGGTCATGTTGTCAGCTTGTTCGGGAGCGTTACATGACAGTATACCGAACCTGGGAACCTATTTGTACCATTCTTAGCGATGTGTGATTCTTAACCCTCAAATTAACATCCTGCAGCATTAACTCTACCGCTGAAGAAATTGAAAAGTTGTTTTATTCGATTAATGGGTTAGTAGAGCGATGGACAAAGCCGACCATAAAGGATGAGAATGGCAAAATTCTTTGTTTAAAGGCATTCTTCACAGCTGTGCTAGAAAGAAAAAAAAAAAAAACAAAAAACAACAAAAAAAAACAACAGAAATATGGTATGGTGTAAATGTCGATGAAGATTACCATTCATCAATATGTTCGCTCTCGCTTGTTGTAGGGAGGTAGCCAAAATTAAGAGGAGGGGGGGTTCCCGTAAACCTCTTTGTGAAGTTATTATTCTTATTATTATTTATAGTATTATTATTTTGAGGTCTACAAAATTCACATTTTATAAAATCAGACTTGAGACTATGAGGCAGAACTTTTCTCCAGTGCCACATAATCCATTTGGCGATCCTTCTCACCGCACAAATATCAGCCCACTGATACACAACATAGCTACTTCACGTAAAGCTCACAGAAATTCATACTTGGGATACCCACCTTTAAAAGACCCTCGCTTCGTCCTCGTAGTGCCCCACCCTCGCCTCCCTTCCCCTCCCCCTTCCCCTCCCCCACGGGAAACTTCCCATCATATATTTCAATTTTTCTGGATTCTCAACTTATTTCATTTCGCTTTCTTTTCCTTTTTTCTGACGTTTACGTATACTAGTGCCATATATCCTGGAGGCCATAGGTCATTACACCACACAAACTACACAAGAGTAGGGAAACAGATCTTAGAGCTGTCAATTAAGGTAAAATTTGAAAATCAAATGAATTTATTTCCACAAGTACTTTCTATAAGGTATCTCACCCGGAGGTATGTCACCTGTGGGCCAGTTTTCTTACCCTAATTGTCGTTCCTAGACCTCATCAAAGGAAGGGTGAAAAGTTATTTATCATATTCATTAAATTGTACACATTTATCATCACCTAGCTGAATGATATGAGCAAAACATTCTTCTCAACGAAAACGCAAATAAACTGTCGAATAAGAAACTAATTTGTGTCTTGAACCACCGAAAATAGCAGCCTATGATTTTGCTTTATGTTCTTTTATTGGAATGTACCAAAAATTAATCCTAAAGTGAAGTCTCTTAGCACTAAATCAATACTATTTCCAGTAACATCATTATTATTATTGTTATCTATTGAATCAAATCTAAAATTATTAAAAAAATCATTATTCGTATCATCATTATGAGAAAAAACCAAACGGTGCACAATTGTGTAAGTTACATAATCTAATAATAATTGTTATTATCCAACTGTGCTTCGTAGAGTACAAATAACACTTGAGACGAGTACAAATATCGCGGGATATTTTTACTCCAGAAACATCCGCGAAATTCGCCCGCACTGAAATAACAATTTGGCATGTTGGATAATAAATCTCTACTAGACATTTCGCTGTGTAGTATCGCTGAGTATTTTTACTCGTTGATTGTATTTTGACTCGCCCTACGGGCTCCTTAAAATACGGCACAACTCGTAAAAATACTCAGCGATACTACCCAAAAAAACGTCTCATAAGATATATTTATCATATTGTCGCTTTTGTCAGGGATGATGGTTATTTTTGGGTTCACCCGCTTCCCGACCTCTATAACAAGTAAACCACAAGAGGGTCTCCGTGGAATGAAGGCTTTTACGGCTAACGGTTAAAATGTTGGCATTTTAACGGCAAACGGTTAACCCAAAATGACACATTAAGGGGAAAAATTTTTACGGTTAACTTTAATTACGACTAAAGGTTATGTTTTTTGGCCGTTTTACAGCTATCGGTTCACCCCATCGAGACCCTCTTACAGAGTGCAATAACGTTTTTGTTACAAAGTATAACAAGTTTTATTTCAAAGGGCGACGATTTTATTTCTTATCGCAGGCTTATGATGAAGGCGACATCTTTCCGATCTGGGGAGAATGTCTGGGCTTAGAGTTGCTTTCAATGCTAATTGCTGGGAGAGATTTTCGAAAGGGGCAATTGGACCAAGAGTTTTTCAGCAATGTCGATGCAAACAATGTCAGCCTGAAATTAATTCTTCCAAGAGGTTGGTGGTTAATATATCCTATACTGTTTAGTTGACAATTATACAATCCGACCCGCTTTAGGGGTATGTCCTGATTGTGATTTTTAATACAGTTGATTCAACACGCGTTCTGCTTGCCATTCATTATTCTATCGGTCTTCTGAAGTGTAACCTCTGAAGAAGGTTTCACATCTGTTTTATTGGTTATGCTAATGATAATTTCAACAATCAGTAAATGTATCCTCTATTATAGCAGCACCGCCCCTGTTTTATTTATTTATACGATATAATTTGATTTGTTATTTATTTATACGCGTGATTTTGAAAACGTTAACCTGCCTTTAACCTTAAAAGCCATCACTCCACTGAGGCCCTCTATCAAAACACTCTGTATATTAGATTTGCAGCAGAGGGGGACCACAGTTTGGTTTAAGCTGTCAAATAGACACAGACATTAGAGCGACCCCTACTAATACAACGTATTTTCTTTCGGTAGATTACGAAACAACTTCTTTGTGGAAATTTGCTCCAAGAAACGTTGTGAAATTCCTACAGAATAACAATGCAACATTCAACAACCACAAGTTGGCCATTACCCCACAGGTTAGTCAAAATATATTACTTTTATTCTTGAAAGAGAAATCTAAGTTACTATTAAAATTATTATTTAATTTCTTTTTTTTTTTTTTTGCACAATTCTTTGTGAAGTTTTAAGGGATCGGTCATTATTTTTACCTGACGCTCGAATATGGAAATTCTCCTTGTGAGCATCTCAGGAAATATGTAGAGAACAGTAAAGAGAATATGCATCGTGATCAGAGGGTGTTATGGGATGAGTCTTTACGCCCTAACATGGTTCAGTTAATACATTGCCCGACACTTCTCTGTTCTTTCGCGCCAGAATTATCGCAAGTACAGACGCCTGAATGCCTTTTTTAGAATTGTCTCTACCAGCAAAGATCGCAAGGGCGTTGAATTTATTTCAGCTTTGGAAGGTAGGAATCAAAAGTATGAGGAACCCAAAATAAGGAACTCAATTCTTACATAGTCATTGAAAATTTTTAAATAAATGTAATATTACAATTCTTCTCTAATTACTCAATTGCAAAGTTTTTACGTGGCATGTTTTGTGGCAAAAAAAAAAAAAAAATCTAAATGAAAAAAAATAAGAAGAGCTTCTGTATCAAATGCTTTGGTAAATATAAATGGTTTACCTCATTTTCAGGTAAGCGTTACCCAGTCTACCTTCTCCACTGGCACCCGGCTAAATCCCAGTTTGAATGGCGCAGATATCTGGACATTAATCACTCGCTTGCAGAAGTTGTGGCAGGCCAGTATTTCGCAAATTTCCTCGTTCAAAAAGGTGAGCTTGAGAATAGGTTTTAGTTCCTTTTCCTTTACAAAAATATAACCATAACTTGCAAATAAAAGTGAGACCGTTGGTTGCTATGATGACCCTCTGACAAAAAAACTCAGCAATCTGTTAACACAAAAGGGTGCATCAAAATGCAGAAATGGAACAGAAAAAAAAGGGCAAAATTTCAGGCGACATTCTCTTCTATTCAATGCATATGATTCACGACGAAGAAAAGCTTCCTTACACACAGCGGATCCGTGACGAAGTAACATGTCCCTCAACCGGCATATCACGCAACATGTCACAACGATCAACGAATTACATTTGAACTCCTTAAGATATTTTGGCGCTTGTTATGCTTATAATCAAATTGAGTTGGAATCACTCTTTATATCGTATAGTGTGTAAATTTTGTCGTCTCGTTAACTGATGAGAGTACTTCGATCTAGCCATTTTCTTCTTCTCTTCTCTTTAGTATTATGCAAAACTTGAGGATACTTTGTTCCTTTACTCAGTTCCCTGGGATAACCAGGACAGACTTTCTCCTTACAATGTCGATATAATATCAAGCAGACAAGTGATGAGAATAAAGAACATTATCAATAGGGGGGGATTATTAGCTGATCCAATACCAAATTCCCCAAACCTAGCACCATTAGAATTGTATGGCAGACGGTAAGACGAATTGCTAATGAGCTCTAATTGTAATCATGATAGTAATTCTTGTCTGTTTTCTGCAGCGCGCCACAGCACTCATCGATTTTCCAGTGAGGAGGAAGAGAGAGCATCTTTGATTTATAACTACAAACCAACTGATGTACAAGACTACTTGCCTTTTGTACAAGCTTACTTTTTTTAAGGTTACTTAACAACCCGCAGGAATCCTGTATAGAAAAGAACGCTTCAACGAACACCAGGCGACTAAACCACAATTGCCTCCTACAAAACTTAACAAAACTTTTTCCTCTCTATGCATTTTTTCCACATAAGTTAAACAATACTATAGCATACAGAGAATGTGAATTTGAATACTATAGCATACAGAGAATGTGAATTCTGGCTTCGATACAATTTCCTGGTACAAGGAGATCATCCTCAGTGGCCTTCTTGCGAAGTTCAACGAGACAAGGAATAAGTGGACAGCGTTTAGTTCCAACCGTAATTTTATTCTGAATCTTCTGTAGTAATCGATGCAATCCTAGTCAGAAAGCCACAAAGGATCCTTGTTTGTTTGTGATCTTCTGCAACTGAGAGGTTTTCCATTTGAACACTGCATATCATTGCACAAATACAAGCGAAAAGCACCTTAGACAAAGGAACGAAGTTCAATACAAATGAATAAAGGCTGATAGTTTCGAAAGAAACTGTTTGGGGCTGCGTTGGTGGGAGTAACGAAATAATTTGGATATATCAACAAAGTTGAAGTGGTAAATTGGCCACCGTAACGATTACAAAA